GTAAACCGTGGCGGCCTTCATAGGTGCTTGCTAACAGCACTTGCCCCAACAGTCTGTTAAGGCTATACGGGGGACTTTGTCTTTGTGGTGGTTGACAGGAGTGTAGCAGGAACGTGGCGCAGTGGTTGCACACTCAGTTTCCGAATAACTCAGGCGAACTGAGTTTGCTATTCCCGGCCGCGGCTTCCATCATTTGATATCTGAACCGGTCCTGAGCCTTTCCCTGCTGGGTGAAGGCCTCCCCCAAAGCCGTCACCCATCGCTCACAAATCCTGCCACGTAACAAAGACAAATATCCCCCGTATAGCCCTTTAGCAGACTGTGGGAGGCAAGTGCTGTTAGCGATTAGCAACCTATGAAGGTCCGGTAACGGCACACGAGGAAGTGGGTGGGCAAAGCCAAGGCCGCCTTTGTTCCCCAGGGGCGATGTGTAACGATCACGAACCCTGATCTCATCGCTCCCACTCGGCGGCGATCGTCCGAGTTTCCCTCCTTTGACTGCCGCTCCGTTGCCAGTCTCGGCCGCTTCTCTCCATCACGTGTGCTGCCCAAGCCCATTTGCCTTTCTTAATGCAACATGTGGTATATGTTTAGGTGTGCATATGTTTAAGGTTTTCTGTAATGTTATATAACGGCAAAAACCCATAACATTATCACAAAGAGTGTGTCAGTCGCGAAGTTCCTTAAATCCTCAAAGCCAATGGACGCAACTTCACGTGTCAACCTACTTGCTACGCTGCCTACTACCAACTACAGGCACCCTGCTTAGCGCGCTTGTCAATGACATACTCCGCGATGCCAACCCTGTCCCCACGAGTGCACCGCACCAGCACGACCCGCGCGTTCATGACAACGTGGACTGTCGTGGGCATGTCTTGGTGAAACGAGGAGCCGGTGCGAGGCAGTACAGCAAGTAGGTTGCTGGCAACACATCCATAACGGCGAGTCTCGGTCACTCCGGTTATTCCCACGAGTAAAATGTTTTTTTTCTTACATCAATAAAATCAACGAGGCAATTGGTCAAACATCCAAACCGAGATCTTCTCGAACTGACCAGCGTGGTGAAGTATGGTCAATATGCAGACGACCGTAGACGCGGAAGGGTCACCATCGAGCAGTGATTGACAAAAGAGCTGTGCACGCGAGTCCAGTGACAGCAGACGGCTCCGTTGCGAAGTAAAACCCGACGCGTAAAGAAATGCAGAAACAGACTTCCACCCAGATGCGTGGGAATGAGGTCGACTTGCAGAGAGACGCCCGCGAGACGAACATTGCTGACATTTAGTGAGACCTGTTAGCACAGAGTCCGCTAACCTGCACCGACCAGCGCGGTGAAGTATGGTCAACCACAGTGAGCGGCACGGCGCACAGAGGTCCTCGTCCAGCAGTGGATCAACACGAGGGCGGCGCGTGAAGGCATCCGCTGAGAGAATCCAAGGTTTACACAAATCAAGATAGAAGAGAACGTTTAAAACTACAGAGTATAATGATGATGATGATAATAACAATATTGCACAGAGACGGATGGGTGGCGCAGTGGTTAGCGCACTGCGAGTGGAGTCTGAGCCGGTCCTTAACCCCCCCCCTCACTCCTCCCTTTCAACCAACCCGCAGTGACTAGCGTGGTGAAGTATGGTCACAACAACCCCCGCGACCGACGCGACGCGACGAGGCCCTCGTGCAGCAGTGGCTTTACAAAGGAGCTGTAAGTAATAATTACGAGTAATATACATTACATATTGGCAATAATAACAATAACGCACATCGCTTTGTTATTGCTATATACTTATATATCGTGTGTATCATACCATATGTAGATGACAAGTTCGATGTTTGCTCGTGTGTGTATACGCTGACCAACGTTATCATGTAACTAAACATCATAATAAAATAGCGTCGCTGCATGTACCGAATGTTGCGAACAAATAAGAGGCGCAGACAACACTTCCATTGACCCCGTCTCTCCACGTCGAAATAAAGCCGCGAACGCATCCCATCTGCACCACGGCCTTCCTGCGACTGAATACATTGCAGCTGCATTGACTCAAGGCAAGCAATGATCGGGACTGGGCCTCATGTAGTAAGTGGCACGACTTGTACCACATGCAACGCGATACACGGAGGGTGATTATTGTGTTTTAAAATATGCGTGCGTGCTATTCGAGACACGTGCATTGCGCATGAACGTGAGTATCCTAAGCGTTCGCACATGGTTACGGAGCTACACGCATGCACGTCCGTGTGCTACTTATTCCGTGACATGCCCTTTGTCAATCCACTGCTGGATGATGGTCCATCCCCACGTTGGTGTCAGCCACAGAGGGTGGGTTGTTGGCTGGGTCATACTTCACCTCGGTGGTCAGAGCAGAGAGGTGGTGAGAGACAGCACGAGCGGTTCAAGAAGTTATCACTCGCCACTGATGATATAGCCGTGGCGGTGCCATTGTTGCTGGCACGTCGTATGTTGGTGAGATGCGCGCGTGAGCAACGTCCTGGACGCACGTAGATCCACGTGACACGTCGCGAACGTAAGGGGACATTGTTGTCCATTATTTTACCAAAACACGCGTGCATACATGTACACGTGAACCTGCACAAATATGCGCGTGCACCTCTGTATTGGCCCGATAGTATAACTACAACCATGGTAATTCATAGTTTAGCGTATAGTACTTTGTCAATACGAAGGGCTGCTGGATCCATGGCTCACCACGTCGGTGAGCTGCGTCGGTCACGGGGGTGGTTTTGACCATACTTCACCACTCTGGCTCAGTGCGGGTTGACGGGGCTGGTGGTGTCCAGAACCGATCCGGATGGAACTCGCCACTGACGTCCGAGGCGCGGCGGGGATCGAACTCAGCTGAGTGAGTTCGGAGCGACAACTTCGCTGCCCACTGCGTCCACATCTCCGCAAAGCGCCATCGTGTTCTACAAGTGGGGCCTGAAGGCTGGCACGTTGGCACACGAGTAGTGGCGAGTAGTTGCTCATAACTAGCACATTCTGGAAACTATAATGATCGACTTTGAGCCGCCCCCCCCTTTCAAATAATCTAAGCAGCGGATGTTGATCGCTTCCACTTCTACGCGATAGCCTAAAGAGGTCTGCAGTGCGTCAAGCCGCGCGCGGAACGCTCACACGAACAGCCGTAATTATATAATCGTCGCCGTTGTCAGTGAAGCGAGTAATTCGCCGTGCGTGCAGTGTGACGGTCAAGACGATAGAAAGCGGGCGAAGCCTTCTCCCACGCGACAACCCCCGATACAGAAGGCCGACTGACCCACCACACGCAATCCCACCGTGCCTTGTGCATCTACACGTGCGGGGAGCTGGTGGCGTAGTAGCGTTCAGTGCTGCGCTACGAACCCGGCGACCCGAGTTCGATTCCCGCTCACGGCCACCAACACGCAAGTGACGAATGTCTGAACCGTTCCTGGGCGTCCCCTAGGTCGACTCAGCCTCAAATGAGTGCCTGGTGCGATGTGTAAACATTGCCACTCGGGAGACAAAGGCGGCCGGGCGTGGTGCTGGCCACCCACCCCCTCGTGTGCCGTGCCGGCCTTCATAGGTGCTACTCGCTAACAGCACCTGCCCCTACAATCTGTTAAGGCTATCCAGGGGATCTTTGTCTTCGTAGACCTCACTGTAATAACCCATTTATTAACCGCCTCTTGTCAATCGCATCACCGCGCCGATCATTTGGGGTTGGCGAAAAAGAACCCAGGAATGGTGCGGATACCACGCGCCACTGATGTTAGCCGCGACCGGGACGCGAACTCGGCTGCACCACCGTTCAACCCACGTCACACTCACGCAGATACAAATATTAACAAGGCCAATACAAAGATCACCCTATGACGTTAACAGACGTTTGGGCCAAGTGCTGTTAGCGAGCACCTATGCAGGTCGGCACGGCACACGAGGGGATGGGTGGCCAACACCACGCCCGGCCGCCTTTGTCTCCCCAGTGGTGATGTTTACACACCGCACCGAGTACTCATTTAAGGCTGAGCTGACTTCAGAGAGGCCCATGACCCGTCAGATATTCGCCACTGGCCGTGAATCGAACTCATGTGGCCGGGCTCGTAGCGTAGTGTACTATCACTGCACCACCGCCCCCCAGATTAAACGCAGAAAGACACAAGCACACAAGCCCACGTCGACACAACCACGCATTCGCGTAGACGCAGACACAAGCCCACAGTCACATGCAGACACAAAGCCACGAAGACATCGTCACCACACAGACACGTATCAGACACAAGACACGTGAAGACACCAGCCCATAATACAGGACAGGACACGTGCACAAACCCGAGCAGACGCAGCGGACAGGCATTCACATCGGCACATATAGACATACATATAGACACACATGTAGACACACATATAGACACACATATAGACATATATAGACATATATAGACACGAAACTATCACGTGCACACAAACACAGATACGGACACAAGCTTACACGACACAAGGGCGCAACGCGGTTATGGGATCGCACACATAACACCGAATGGCGTGTGCAGTCAAAGAAACCGTCGTCCGATACAACCCGGAGACTCAATCACGTCGAACCGCACGGCGCGCAGACACATCGCATCTCGTCGCGACTCTGAATCGATGCTGCTGACATGACGCACTCCCAGAGACGGCCGTGGCGCCGATGGGTTGTGTAGGAAGACAACTTGATTCGTTTCGTTTTCATTCGGAGAGAGAATACACACGAAGGAACGTATCGAGACCAACGTTCTGTTTATACGCAGACTATTGGGGGCGTGCGGTGTCAGCGAGCGGCACCCATCTGATATGAATGCCGTGGCCACGCCGCACCAGGGGGTGGTGTGGCCAGCACCACGCTCGCCCGGCCCTGCTGATGCTGATACCCGGCGGGCCAGCCAGTCGCGTAAGGCCGAGCGAACCTCGAGACCCGCGGCAGTGTACGCACAGAGACGCGTGGAGCAGTGATGAAGGAGGTGGGGGAGCAAGTCCTTACCACCACGAGGTCGCCCCGACTGTCCACAGTTGAACGAGCACAAGTCCCCAACAGGCGAGTCTCAGATGGGGCCCACTCGGAGGCCGACTCATCTTGAATGCCAGCGCTGTGCGGAGAAGCGAGGGGATGATGGGTCGCCAACCCGGTGGTGGTGAGTGAGTGAGTAGCGGTTGTAGTGATCGCTCCGGTCAGGGCACTCTGGTAAAGGGTGAATGCAATTGCACGCGCGGTGTGAGCCGGTGCACGGATGAGTGGCGAAAGTGGTGGAAGAACTATTGTTTTGAAGGGTAGAAGGGTGAATTGTAATGTTTGTTAAAAGATGCGATGGTTGAAATGGTAAGTTTAACAATGAGGACGGTGATGATGATGATGAAATATAACACAGAGGAAAATGTATAAGTACGAAGGGATAAACTACGTTGAACAACGAGATTACGGCGAGATGATAGAATAAGTACTCCTTGCATAAACATACATAAACCTTAGAGTTTAAATAACATAACGATATGCTTTTAACGCACACGAAAAATAATAAGTAAATCTTGCTCAACGGCAGTTTCCAGCTAATTATGAAAACGCACACATGCAGTTACTTTTCCCGCACCATACTAAACAAAAACACCACATTTCACATTACGGCGCACTACAAGAACACGCATCCTACAAACGACTCTTGCAACAACGTTGCCACTGTAATAATGTCCCACTGCGTTCAGGCTGGAGTCACAGACTTACACGCGAACCACTCTAAACTGTACAAGAGCCTTCACAAACAAAAAACGCACAGACGCATCTCGTTAAATATGAGCAGCGTAAGAACCCTAAACAATGCTCGCTGCGCAGTAGGCGAAGTGGTCGTATTCCCAAATCGTCTCGTGCCTCGACTCCTACTTCCAAACGAACTTCTTAAAAAAAATGCTGATTGGCGTCACGAACTCATCACACTCCCTCTCTCTGTCGAGAAAGTGAGCGAGAGAGATGACGGCTGGTGGAGAGAAAAGGGAGAGCGTGCATGAAGGGAGCGAGAGAAGAGAGAGAGATAAGTGAATGAGTGAGTGACCCGTGGCCTGGATAACACGCGCGTGTGCTCATGGCTGTCCAGTAGCGCGGTTATAAGTAGTCCCACGGGCGGCACGCTATTGGTTGGGTCGCCAAGGCTCAGAAGTTTATTTAATTTTTTAAGGCAACTTTATCGTGTCGTACGTACACCGCGCGTAATTGCACAGCGGGTCTATGAGCATCACATGCGAGTCATCAGCGGTGTGCGGTGTCCGCGGGCTACGGAGCGCGCCTTGCAAAAGGGGGGGTGGGGGGCGGGGTGCCCGGGTAGGTGGATCGCGCAGAGATGGGTGACGAGTGGCTGTGTGTTTGTTGCAGGTGACTTCACCCGCGAACCGTGCCTACGTCCCGAGCGCTTTGTTTGACCAGGCGGCACCACACTGGTTAGTGTGGGTTCGGTGAAGGAGGTTTCAAGGATGAGTTTGACATACAGTCTATATATATATACTGTATATGTACTGCACGGGGAGTCTACAGCGCGACGTGCCGATCGCTGCGTCACCGCTCCTTGCCTATCGCAGTCGCCCAGTGCAACTTTGACAGTCAATCGAATCTTCACACAGCCGAAGACGAGTGAATTCTATTCCCCGTGGGGGTGGACCAACTTGGCTGCAGGAAATGTCTCGCGGATTGAACGGTTCCCGCCGTAGTAACGTGGAATTGTAACACCCACTGGCCCAAGGACAAACAAGGGACAAGCGATGGACCCCGCATAACTCGGTTCGTTTGACCCGGGGGTCAGCCTCGACTGAACACTGACCACACCTACGACGCTCCTACGCATTATCTGCCAAGCCTTCAAGCTCAAAGTCAATGTCAAGAAGGCATTACTGCCAGCGCCGTGAATACCACTGCACCTCGCCATCGCTTCCTTCCGTCTGCTAGATCCCATCGCTTTTGCAACGTCGACACTCGACCTCCGAGGTCTGTTCTTCCGGTCTCATCATCATCGTCACCACCACCACCACCGCCACCACCACCACCACCACCGCCACCACCGCCACCACCACCACCACCACCGCCACCACCGCCACCACCACCGTCTGCCTGTAAGTCGACCTCTGAGTGCCACTCCACTGTCCGTCCCGGTAACTTGGCGTCCTCCACGCGGCACATTACAACCTCCTCTCACCAACTGCAGCTGCACTTTCCTGTTCACAACCTACAATGCCTTCACTTTCTCACCGAGAATTTTCGTTCGGGGCCACTAGAATGGTAGGTGACTCGTGGGCCAGCCACAGCCGTAGCGAAAGGTAGACTTGACGTGGTGTGCCGGGTGAGGGGAACACTGTCCGGGTTTTCCGCACCGGGTGATGATCACGCCCCGTCTGTAGACACACAGCGAGCGATTATACGCAGGGAGTGCAGCACCTCCGATAAGCACCGTCGGCTATGTACGGTGTGAACGAAGTTATACACATGCATGCAACATCCATATTGCTATCCTGCACTGAGCTGGAACATCTATGCGTGGTGAATTATTGGTGAACAGCATGGCCGTGGGGAAGCCGTGTGCGATACGGGTTCAATGTTGTTTAGCAATGCGTACAGAGCAATTGAAAATTTGTTTAAATGCACAGTGAAGATTTAATCTTAATCGGCGACTAATTTAAAGTCATACATCAATTCACCCTATCGGTAATGACGATTGTTTCGACCATACTTCACCGCGTTGGTCAGTGCGGGCTTGTGAAAGGGCGAGAGGAGACACGGGGGCCTGTTCATGCATCACGTGCTGCTAATGAGAGCCGTGGCAGGGGATCAATAGCAGAGGGCCAGGTTCAGAGTGTAATGCGCTAACCGCTGCGCCACCGCTCCCCCCGCCCCCCGCGAGAGCTCATTGCTATGCAACAATAACAAATTGTATGATTTCAAGGAAAAATAAATACCCTAATACAAATATACGTGTATATAATATTCATCTTGGCTTTGAGCTGCGAGTGATAGCACAGCTCATTAAAAAGGAGCGTAGAACATAGTGAAGACGAATTAACTAAATCATAAATGATAATTGGTTCTTTACCCTTCTATCTGGCAACAAAACTGACACCTTTTTTTGTTGCCAGATAGAAGGGTAAAGAACCAATTATCATATTTTTACTGGCAAATGAGGTCCCCATAGTGTAAATCATAAATGTTTTGTTATGGGGGTCACCTGGAACGCGCCCGATCCTGTGAGATTTCTGAAGCTCAGCAGGCATGTGAGCTTGGTTTGGACTTGGATGGACTCCGACGTATCCCGGAGACTCGCCGAGTTCCGGCCCTGCCCGAAGATGGTCGTGCGGCGATGGATTCTCGAGTCTATCTGTGTGGAACTGTGAGTGTGTTTACCCTCCCATAGAATGCGTAGTAGCCCCCCCCCCCCACCCCGGGCACTCGATCTGTTTTCCTGCCACGTGCAACCCGCTCACGAATGACCAAACATTCCGACGATGACCGTGGCAAGAAACACAAGTGGGACCATGGCCAATGGTCGAGACTGACCAACGGAATGGCAGTCGAAGGAGGGAGCACGCCCGACTGATGTACAGCCCCCACGCAGATGAAATGACACCAGATCAGCTCATGCGCAGGAGCTCGACGAACGCCGGTTCGATTCAATGTCCCGGCGCTTCTGTCCACCAATGTGTCCATCCTAGTTGATCGCGTGCGGTCGTGTAAAAGTGTGAGTTCTCTCACCTCTTTGTATACGTCTGGCCAGCGTAGAAGAGTAGGCCAATTACCCTCTAGAGGTGCTTTCTAGAGCTCAACCCCACCCCACCACCACCACCGCGTTTCGTGTGGAGGCACCGACCGCCGGCAGTGGTGTGAGCGAGCCATTGCAAGGCTGCCCCTTTGCCTCTTGCACGTCGCCCGTGTCAGAGGCAAGGGCAACCGATGCCCTCTTGTGGAGGAAATGCGAAAGCGCAGCGATGCTTTGACGCGCACGTTTTTTTTTAAAAGCCAATAATGATTTGGGGCTCACGACAATTGGCCAACTCCGTGTGCCTATTGAGTCACGTGCTGCGTTTGACACCGTGGCTAATTTAACCTGCGGTGACTCCCTTGGCGAGGCCGATGGGGTTTTGGTTTTCTTCATCAGACACAGCCACTAAAGTGTGACGGAGTGTGGTGGGAGGCGTTGGTGGCTACGCTGCTGCTGCGGCACGTGGCTGCTGCTGCTGCTGCTGCTGCTGTGGCACGTGGCTGCTGCTGCTGCTGCTGCTGCGGCACGTGGCTGCTGCTGCTGCTGCTGCGGCACGTGCACGTGGCTGCTGCTGCTGCTGCGGCACGTGGCTGCTGCTGCTGCTGCTGCTGCGGCACGTGGCTGCTGCTGCTGCTGCTGCACGTGGCTGCTGCTGCTGCTGCGGCACGTGGCTGCTGCTGCTGCTGCTGCACGTGGCTGCTGCTGCTGCTGCGGCACGTGGCTGCTGCTGCTGCTGCTGCACGTGGCTGCCTGCAGTAGCCCAGCACCGTGGAGGCAGCAGCGAGGGTTGGTGGATCGCACCACTCCCCGTGGGGGTCGAGCTGCTGCTGCTGCAGCTGCTGCTGATGCTGCTGCTGCAGCTGCTGCTGCTGCAGCTGCTGCTGCAGATGCTGCTGCTGCTGCAGCTGCTGCTGCTGCTGCAGCTGCTGCGTGCTGCTGCTGCTATACCCCTGGCTGGCCAAGGGAATGCGGTACAGGAAAAATGTGGATCCCACCTGTTTCATTTGTACGGAATAGAGTGTTGCTCCCTCGCGCGCGTGGAGTTTCTCCTCGGTGCTCCGGTTTCCTTCCACCACATGCATGCACAAAGCTCATTAATTATCCGAAAACACCTCGCGTGGGAACCATACACGAGGGAGACGTAGATGTACAGGACAACAATGGATCTTGTCGCACTGTTCTGCCGGTGTGCCCACCGCCACCACCACCACCACCGTGCCCGTGTCTGCGAGCCCCCCTGGAGGGCGGCAGTGACGCGGTTAGCGAGCCGCACTACGAGCCCGGTGACCCGAGTTCGATTCCCGCCCACGGCCAACACCCGGGGAGGTTATCTAGACCGGTCCTGGGCCTCCCCTAGGTCGGTTCAGCACCAAATTAGTACGTAGTGCGGTGCGTAAACATCGCCACTTGGGAGACAAAGTCGGCAGTGCGAGGCACTGGTCACCTACCCCCTCGTGTGCCGTGCAGGCCCTCATAAGTGTTCGCTAACAGCACTTTCCCCAACAGTTTGTTAAGGCTATACGGGGGACCTTTATTGTATCCCTGTATATGTGGCTATGTGGTGTTCCGTGTACGTGCCTGTGTGTAATTGTTAGCAGCACACTGGCCTTGCAATCCAGAGGTCGCCAGCTCGATATGATCTCCTGGCGCGGCAGTTGAACCGATTGGCAACATCCCTTTAATCCCCACGTGCCACCGGTCCACCCAGCTGTATAATTGGGTTGACCACGGTCAAGTCGTGTGGTGGGGTAGAGCGTGGGTCCGCCTACCCCCGTCAAAGACGTCTGGCCATCGTGGAAGAGTACGGGAAATGCCACCTACAGGGGTCTCTCTCACAGCGGCCTCTAGCAGAGTGACCTTCGAGAAGACGCAGCACGTTGGGAGGAGATACCACACCGACTCAAGCCAAATGAGTGCGATGATTGGGCAGAAGACATCTGGGGTTGACTGGTCGGTTGATGATCGTCGGTACTTGACGAAACAAATCGGACAGCGCGAGCCGAGAGAGGAGGAACGACCACCGCGGAGACGGAGCGATGGAATTATAATCGTGCAACGGATGGCTGACGTCAAAGAGGATCGTGATGTCGGCGGCTTGTAGTGCGCCTTCATTCAGCGGTGGATAGATCCTGGCTGACGTGGATTACCCAAATGCGTCTCCGCTGGGCACAATGATCCAGGGGGTGACAGTGCAGCGGCGTTGTTCGTCTCACATTCGTGGCTCACATGAACAGTGCTCGTGTAAGCCAACATCATTGGCGTGCTGCACCCATAATGTCCCCTCAAGGGCCATAAGATCTGTGGATGCAGATCTTCTTTCTG